AGTTTTTTGTGGATTTTAATGAGAAGATTAAAATGTTAATGAGCCCAAATCCAAACCTACAAACCAATTCAAATATCTCATAATAACTTGAATCTATATATACATTTTTGGATCACAATTAGCAAATAAATCCTGAAGTTGAGAAGTATTTACAATGACATGCCATTAGCATTAATTATTTAGATTTTTTTTATTTAAGTAAAGATTTTTATTTGAAATTTATTTCTCATATATTTAGCAAAAGTCTCTACAAAATCTTTCCTTATCTATTTAAGTAAAGATTTTGAAATCAAATATGTTCTCAACAATTTACCAAAAATCTATACACAATCTTTTTGAAAATTTCGACTTAGTTAACTTCTGATTTTTATCTGCAAAAAAAAAAATTAATTGTAACGAGTGATGTAAAAATCGGGAATGTTGATACTACAATTTCTTCTACTTCTTTTTTTTCATATAATGAAAATTATTTTTTAGGGATATTTTCTTAAAACCTCTAAACAAAACAAAGGGTTTCAAACGATAACTTCTCTTTTGGCGGGTCTACCCGCAAACCCGTAACTCTCTACGGGCTTATCCGCATGAACCTGCGACCCGTAGTGCATAAAAATATTATTAAAAAAATAACAAATGATGTTTAATTTTACGGGACGGAGTTATATGGTGCAACGGGTTTGGATCAATATTAATATTAAACAATATACTATGGATGAAATCCTAGAATTAAAAATCAAAATTTAATTATAAAATCAGAAACACTAAACAAAATAACAATATTAACAAAACAAATACAACTTAAAATTTTGCAAAATAATTTTTTAGTTATAAAAAAATCGACTAGCGGTGTACCGCGGGGTAAAATCTAGATTTGGAAGTTTAAAGAAGAAAAATATTTTTTTAAAATAATAGCTCCGCGGTGTACCGCAAGAAAAATCTTTCTCCTAAACTGAGGTAAGAAGAAGAAAAAAGTCAAATGTCGTTTAAGTGTATATATAGATATACCATTTAAACCTAAAACACAATTAATATACTCAAAACTATTAATATAGATATATAGATGGTACATTTATAAAATAGGTCGAAATATTATATTATACTCTCTATTAATAAACAAAACTAATTATATTTAGATTTTTTAAAAAAAAATTATAGCCCCGCGGTGTACCGCGGGTTCAAATCTAGTTTTCAAACATTTTCACTTCAATTTGAGGGGGACTATAAAGTGTATATACATATATAACGATTAGTTATTGTTGGTTGTATACACTGCCGTGCCTAGGGTCTTAGAGGGAATTTTTGTCACTAATGCCACTTCTTCAAAAAAAGTAATCGTTTATGCCACTCTTATATTATATTATATTTTTTATTTATTTTTTAATATAAAATCTATAGTAAATGTCAAAAAAACCTTTACCCTAATTCAGTATTTACGTATCCTTGCCATTGCCTACCTAAAACCTAATTATTTTATCTTCTTCTTCTATTTCATTTTCACGCTTCTCCTCTTCCATCTCTTTCTTCTTTCACGCTTCTCTTCTTCCGTCTCTTTCTCCTTCATCGGCGACTTCTTCTTCTTCTTCTAGATTTTTCGAAACCTTAACCCTAAATCTCTTCTTCCTCTTCTAACCATCAACGAAACCTCTTTTTCTCCGTGGATCTTTCTTCCCTCTCTTCGATCTTCTCATTCTAGATCCATAGATCTTCGTTCTTCTCACAGATCTGAGATTAACAACAATCCCGATCTAGATTTCTCCCAAATCGGCTTTGTAGTGACGGAGAAGAATCGGCGGTGGAGGAGAATCGGCGGTGGAAGAGAATCGACGGTGGAGGAGAATCGACGGTGGAGGAGGATCGACGGTGGAGGAGAATCGTCGATCCTCCTCCACCGGCTTTGTATTTTAATAATTAATTATGTATATTAACTAAGCAAAAATAAAAGTCTAAAAAATATATGAGACTAAAATACAACTAAACAAGAAAAAAGAATGTTAAATGTTAGAGATATTGAAGATCAAATTTTGATAAGATGAATTTTACTATTTTAAATTGAATTTTGATTAACTAACCTAAGAAGATTATCTATTAATGTGGCCTCTAAATTTTTAAAACCCAATGTGGCCTAAGGCAAATGTCTTTTTTTTTTTTATTATTATTCAAGTAGTCACGGCTCTGGTTGTATAGTTTGTTAGTCTCAAGCTCTATATAAACAGTTGTAAAGTCATCATTCGAAGGTTAACGAGAATTTCAGTCTTTATCTATATAATGAAGTCGATAAATTTAGGCCTTAATGATCAACTTTCATATCACGCTAAGCAATTAACATGTAATTAGGGTTGTCCACTTTGAATAGTTTCGTGGATTTTAAGGACGAAATCTTATTTTTTCATGTTTTTAGTCATTGTAGAGAACTTTCTAATGTGGTTTCTTATTTACAATTTCTAATGTGTTGGTTTTTATTTGCAGCATTAGTGCGACCGACGTTTTTAATTGCAGCATCTCCTGTTCTGTTTATTCTTAGGCATGAAATGGATTAGAGGGTTGCATCCACCTGAAGTTGCATCAACAGTTGGGGTTTCAATCACTGGATCAACAGAGGATCAGGTTAAGGAAGGGTGAAATAGACAAGGATGGCAATTCAATCAAGTAACTACATACAACTATTCCAGCCTACAGAGCTTATTGCGGTTTATCAGAAATTCAATTAGTCATCACAGAGAACTTCCTCCAGAAGTCCAGGTTTGTCTTCAAACCTAAACGATCAGTATTTTCTTGAGTTTAGGAAGTAAAGTTTTGGTCTCTCATGGTCTTTGAAACTTTTTGGTGTCTCAAGGTCTTTGGGGAACGTATCCAGAAGGATTGGATAGTAATTTTGCTTCTAGGTTCCCTACGTTGATGATCATAGTCCATAGAATTATGTCTCACAACTGCAAGACAGAAAACGCGTTTAAGACTTACTTCCAAGATAGCGAAATGGATGGATGATGATGTTTAACACACTTCCAAGATAGCGAAATGGATGGATAAGTCTAGACTCATAATTTTGTTTAGAAGTCATTGACCTTTTATGAAAAAAACAAACTAGTTTTCACCATTGGCTATTTGCTCGCCAAATTTCTTTATCCTCACCTCCATCGTTACCAAAACATGCTAATGTCAACTAACACATTCTTCTATATTGATTATCAGAAATGGGATCAAATTATCATAAATATCTCTTGATTATCAACAAAAAAAAAAAATCTAAATTATCATCCACCTTCAAGATTATCTCAGAAATATCTGGATTATTATGATTATCAGATATATGAATATATACATGAATATATTAAACATTAATATATAATTCTTCTTTCAATTTTATGTGATCTTATATTTAATTAATTTTGAATTTATATAAAATACATATATTTAATAAAATAATAGATTTTTCTGCATATGATGTTATTCAAAATTTTAAAAACGACATATATTACTCAATGGATGAAGAAAATATAACAAAATGATGTTTAATTTCACGAGAAGAGGTTATATGGTGGGATGAGTTTGGGTCATTATTAGTACATGACAATATGCCACCGATGAAATCATAGAATTAAAATAAAAATATAATTATATAATCTTTAACACTAAACAAACCAAACAATATTAACAAAACAAAATAACTTAAAATTTAAAGTTTTAAATTTTTAAAAAATCGAGTCGTAGTGTACCGGAGTAAATTTTTTAGATACAAAATAATATCAATTTATTATAATAGTCCATGATTATAAATGCTTGCCAATATTTACATTATAACACTTCTACACATTTAGGTAACAAATACAACAATTCAAAAACAATATTTATATATTTCAACTATATTAATTATAATATAAAATAAATAAATGAGAAGTAATTTTTTTAACGGATTGAGCCGAATTACACATCGCATGCACTGACCGATATATTGGTGAGGGAAACCTTAAAATGTGAAAGATTGATCTTTGCCGCAGCTTCGGCCAAAGACACTTCCTTAAGATGTGAAAGACTGATCTTTGCCGCCGCTTCAGCTTTTAAGTTTCCTCCGCCTTGAGATTCTTATCCCTCGCCGGTATCTCGTCATCAAAGGTAGCAACGCCACCACTCGCCGCCTGATCCGCCGGTTTTTTTGTTCAAAAACATAAATATGTATATTCACAGATTCCTAAAAAAAAATAAGCAAATGTATTCACAAATTTCTAGCAAAAGAAAAGCAAGGACAATGATTTTTCTCTCTTAATTATATACAAAGCTGTGGTGATCGCATTGAAGTATAGGTGCAGATCCACGAGTCCAGCAGCTTCTTCAGCACGGTTGTAGCCTCGGTTTGAAAGATAGAACAACTGCAGCTAGAACCACAACCACAGCAGCTAGAACCAAAGCAGTAATGGCTGTACTTTTCCAGGAAAGTCTTCCCAAGATCACTTTGCATGACTCGTCAGCTTCTTTGTAAAGAGAAGCATTGGCTCCTCCTTCATTAATAGCTTTTTCGTTCTAAGAACATCACATATGTAAGGTCTTAGATCAAATCACAACTTAATGGAGGGAAAAAAAGTTGGCTTAGAAGAGTAAAGAGCCATTACTTTTAGCCTGAAGCTCTTCATAGTTTGATTGAGAGTGAGAGTATTACTCCGTGATGATGATAGTTTGCGAGAATGATCCTTCCATTCGTCTACAAGATTTTTAAGAAGAGCAACACTAGCTTTTAGATTATTCTCGTAGAGATTGTCCCAGTGATTGCAGCAAACTATGTTTTCGGTCAGAGCCCAGATAGCGATTGATGTAGCTTCCTTGGCTAAAACAGGATTTGCTGTAACAACGGCAACACATTAGAACTCTATTTGGAGAAGAGAGAAAGGACTCAAGGTTTTGATTGTTACTAATACCTCCCCCAGCTAATCTCAAAGAAAAAATGAATATCTGTCGAGCGGCTTTTTTCATAGCCTCGCCTCCTGGTGTACCGGCAAGAGCCAATTCCTTCAACAAGGGATAAATTGCCTCAAACCTTGCTGTAGCCTGTGTGCGTACAGAGACCATGCTTGTTGATCAGAATCTGACAAATGCAACAAGGTTTTGTTTTATAAGTTCCAATACTAGTATAGTGCTTACCTTTACTCTTGCGGATGAGTCAGGGAAGGTAAGCCGCAGCAAGCTCTCAAATGAAAAAGGTGGAATCACTCCATGATCCTCAAAGACAGCTCTCTCTACAAGTATGGTCCGAGCATTTGGTTGCGACAAAATACTGATGATAAGAAAATTGCACAAAGAAGATCAAGATGATTGTATATATACAGCAAAAAGAGACCACGCAAGAAAACTCTTTTTTGACTCACTTCTCAACCAGCTGCAGGATGAGATTCCGTGAGTGAGGGTTGGTATCGACTGCTGGTAACAAGGTATCCGCCCATGTAAACAAGGCCATGAATAAATCACCTCGGGAGGCCTGTCCACATTTTACACACTTTCAGATCACAGAGAGAAAAGAAAAGAGTTGACAAAATAGATCACACGAGGAACCTGAGCTATCATCGAAACTGTAACCGGAAGCAGGTCTGGTTCTCGGTACCTACTATACTTGAACCTCATTGGCGGCAATACACGAGCCAAAGCACTTGGTTTCCCACGCAATACCATCGCGCGCTGAGGTAACAAATAACGACACCTAATCGTAAAACAAACAGATCATAATGGAGCTAGTCAAACAAAGGTAACAATTCAATATTCAGACATCTATAAAATTGATGTGAGACGAGACCAAAGGTTTTCCAGAAAAGAATGACCTGAGATTTGCGATAAGTATGAGGTGGACCTCCTCGAAGTTCTGTCAAACAACCGTTAATTTTATTAAGCGCCCACCATATAAAGCCACAGAGTGTGTTTAACTTCTGACGTTGGATCCAATCGACTGATATTTTGTAGACAGATTCAGGAATATGAGATAAAGGAACCTGTTTATACAAGAAAAAAATAAAGAAGAAGATAAATGAGCTTCATGAAACAAACCTAGAAATATTTTTCGTAAACATAAGAAAGAAAAATGTAAGAAAAAGATAATGAGCTCACATCGATCACATCGATGAGCTTGAACAAGGGAGGATTGTTGAACATCTCCGGCCATGAAAATGGGACATCGCAAAAGGCTATCCCAAAGTAGTCGACAAATTTTATTAGCTGCCACTCTGGCAGCATCGGATACATCTCCTACAAAAACAACAACAACAAACAAACAAGGTTTTATCGATTAAGATAAGAATTCCAGTGATTAAACAAACGGATTGAGCCGAATTACACATATCGCATGCACTGACCGATATTTTGACGAGGTAAACCGTAAGATGTGGAAGATTGATCTTTGCCGCAGCTTCCGCCAAAGACACCTTCTCCTCCTCCTCCTCCTCCTCCTCCTCCTCCTTCTCCTTCTCCTTCTCCTTCTCCTTCTCCTTCTCCTTCTTAGTTTCCTCCGGCTTCAGATTCTCACCCCTGGCCGCTATCTCCTTCTCCTTCTCCTTCTTAGATTCCTCCGGCTTCAGATTCTCATTCCTTGCCGCTATCTCGTCGACGCTGTCATCTACCTCTTCAGAGAGACCGGTACCGTTCGATTCATCCTCCACATAAGCAGCAACCATATTCCTTGCCCGTTTTTTCTTCCGAGACACGACTTTCGTCCATCCACTGTCGTCGACGTGGGAGTTACATGTAGAGGTCTCGAACTCATTGATCGGAACCATAATTTCTCAATAATTCTCTTTCCCAGCGTGATCAACAAAGACCAAAGTAGATGACGATTACTTTACCGAAGAGAAGTAGGGTTTTATATGAAAGATTGTTGAAGAAGAAAGGGTTGTGTATTAGGGATTTAGGACTAATTTATGAAGTGACTATATTATCCTTATATAATAAAAATTAAAAACCCAATTCTTATTTTTCTAAACCAATTCAATTATTTGTTCCACGGACAAAAAAAACAAATTATTTCGTCTACTTAATCAACTGCTCCATCTCCATGATATCCCTCTTTGAGATTATGTTTTCTTCACATGGCTAAGCTTTCTTCAGTGGAGTTTGGTTTTTCTCCTATACGTAGTTAAACATGTGTCATGAATCATGATCCATGACCATGGCGTTATCATTTCAACATTTTTTATTTGTTTGTTTGAGACGACTACAAATGTTTGTGCCCTTTATTTTTCAGTGATTGGTAGGATGCACCGTTGATGGAAAAGACCCAAAGGATCTTTAGCATGAAATTTAAGATTGTGATCGACATTGACATTCCTGTGAAGTTAGGAACAAAAGTAGTTTATGGTTTTGGAGTTTGTTTTTTTCTATGAAATTTAAGTTATAATGATGATTGATCAAAGATAGAATCATCAATAAGTAGATATAAAAATATCATATGCATCAAATAACACATACATTCATACGAGGCTTGTACGTTACAAATTGTTACACTCAAACCTCCCCCACAAAGCCACAAATAAGACACAGTAAATGTCACTCACCGACCATCTTAAATAATATTCGTTTTTTCTTTTATATGATTTGGGTCCCTTTTTTTCCTTTCTCCCATCTTGACCCAAAGAATTTTTCACCTCTTCGATAGTTCGAATAATCAAATTTAAGCATGAAGCTCGTGAAGTTGGCTTCTCACTGACCCATAGGCCTTCATAGCGCCAGCTCTCAACACAAACTGATGGTAAAATGCTGCAATGGCTGCACCCACAAATGGACCGACCCAGAAGATCCACTGTATAATTAAAAGAAGTAAACTCATTAATAAGTTAATTAATGCCGAAGAACAAGCATCAGAGGTGAAAATGAAAACCTGATCATCCCAAGCCTTTTGATTGTTGTAGATGACGGCAGCTCCAAAACTCCTAGCCGGATTAATTCCGGTGCCAGTAATTGGAATTGTGGCTAAATGAACCATGAACACGGAAAATCCAATTGGCAATGGTGCTAATACCTTCAATTCAAAAATTTCATATAAAAATAAATCAACCTACGTCATTAACAATGACATAGACGACATTTGAATTTGAATGAACTTTAGGTACCAAGATCACTAAAATAGACAAAGAATCAATTAATGACCATGTGCATAACAGAAAGATTTGGTTTTGTAACGAATCATATATACTTGAAAGGACATTTATCATGGAAGTATGTACATATACACATGGGTCGTTGTGCAAATGCAAAATATGGACAATTTACATACTACAAAGACATGTGATGAAGAGACGTGGAGCACAAATAGAAATAGGGTATGTCGTTATAACGTGTAAAAAGACATTTGTACCAAAGAAAGATACAAGAAATGGTGAT